CATAATCTCTACAAAATGCTCTTTGCTATAGTTAAAGGTAAAATACTGGATTGTACCCTGTGTCTCTGATACAACAATCCATGTAATCTGTGACTTTTATAGTCTTAGGGAATCTATAATATAGCATCTAAATAAGCACTTAGAATAAGTTGTGTAGGACATAATTTTATTCTAACACATCCAGGCCTTATCCCCACTCTGAGTTCATTTTATAAGATGGTTTGTCAGCCAGACACAGTGGCACACATCTGTAATCCCAGCACTTTGAGAGGCTGAGGCAGAAGGATCGCAAGTCCAAGACTTGCCTGAAGGACATATCAAGACCATGACTCAAAACACAAGTAAAAATGGGGCTTGGAATGTAGCTCAGTACAAAGGCTCTTGGTTCAATCCCCCTCCACTCCACGTTGATTCTATAAATGTTGTCTAAGGGGCACACTTCCACCTGCCCCGAGGTGTTTGCTCTGGCTGTCTGTAAGTTTACTGTGCTTTTCACCCACGTGACAGGCTCTGTCGCTCAGGAGTCACCCAACTGTCCTTCCTTCAGAGACGCCTGCTTTGACCATCCCGATGAAATTGTCTTTCCTCTAACCCTTCCAGTCCCTCCTTGTGTCACCGTTTTATTCCTGGTTTCCTCAGAGTGCCCAGCGCTACCTCAAGTTTCACTTGTTTGCTTGTTAATTGTCTTTCTCCATGACAGTCTTAATGAAAGCTCCCTGAAAATGAGGGCTTTCCCTAAGGCACCCCGAATCCTGAAAGCAGTAGCTGTCAGTATTTTTGGAAGGAATGTTCAACTCCTGGGGGTAGTGACATGTTAATAGGCAACAGATTTCCAATTTAAGAGGCATATCTGTTTCTTAAAAAATAAATCTTTAATACATTGACATTTTAAGCATTAGCAAGCCATTTCAAAAGGAATTTCAGAAGTGATGGCACCTGCTCGTAGCCAGAAGTCATACTTAGGCTACTAGATTAGCTGCACTCCTCCCCTGAGCATCTCCCCTGCTTCCGCCTGGCACTCTTCACACTCAGTTGTGCAGACTGCTGGTCCCAGTGCATCTCGGGAGGTTTACAAAGTGAGGACCTCGTTAGGCTTCTAAACTTGTCCAGCTGACAATGAATCAACCATTAAAACCCTCATAACTAACATCATCAATTCTACATCATCTCTTACTTTGACCATATATAATATGTGAAGTTTTTATCTGTCTAAAGTCAAAACTTATCTTGCATAAAACAGTATTTATAAATGTAGAAACAAACACTGCCTCTTCCTGAAACTGAGTGTGCTGTATCAGTAACATTGCACCATGCATGATAGCATCCTGCAGTAATGCTAGGGTCTGTTGGAAAGCCACCCTGTGTCTTTAGCCCATAGAATGAACTAGGGGTTGATTAATTTGAGCAATGTAATGAAAAGAGGATGTTGGCCCTTGCTTGGTCTTTTTATTACTGTGCTGCTTTTAATTTTTTTCTCATTGCCAATACTTTTTGTGTGAATTCTAGAAAAATAAAAGTTAAAAAATGAATATTTTAAAAGGTTGAAAAATTAAAACTCCCTTTAGCACAGCAGTCACATTATATACAGGCAGATCTTTTTCTAAGTATGTTTTTCCTCTAAAATCTTAGTCACTCTGAACATGTTTTTATTTTCCTTCATATCAATCATACGTCACCTTTTTAAAAGAAATTTTAAAATGTCTTTTTTTAATGAAGGTGTTGAATTTTCTCTTACACCAGCAGAAAGCTTGCAGGGTTTGCATTTGCCTGTCTTCCTAACTGTGAGGTGAATCCATATTTGGGGTGTGTGGTAGCTGAAACTAAACCCTAAGCTCATGGTTCCGCTCCTTCATCTGTTTATGTCGACAAATATTTATATTCTCATTTTCAAAAATGCATTCTATGTTTTAATGAACATAATTTAAACTTTTACTGTTGGACATTCGTAGGTTTTTGCCTTTTTACTTTCTTACTTCTGTCATCTGTGCAGTAAGTATCACTGCAGCTCAACTGTACACATTACCGAGTTTTCCCTTAAGATAAACCCTAAGTCGGATTGCTAGGTTAAAGGTCAGACATGTTTTTTCAAAAACCTGTGATCGGCACTGCGGATTTCTCTGCAGCCACCTCTCCTGCCAGGCCTCTACCTGCAGTGCTGAAATTCCCCAGGACTGAGCTTCCCAGCTCCTTTTCTGAAAGTAGTTGCTGTTGCCTGGAGCCCTGCTTTCCTGACCACGCTGAGCATTGCAAAGCCCACGCCTATCTGTGAACTTGGCTGCTGCTGTTTTGTAACTAAAGTGTTTGACTTGTAGCTGGTCAGATGGCAGCATTTCTCCTTGTAGTTTTAGACGATGTCCGAGGGAGTGAGGCAGGGAACCGTAGGAGCACCAGCCTTAGTCTCCCCACTTGGAGCACCTGCATGGGCCTGCTGTTCCTCACCTCTGCCCTGCTGCGTCTCTAAGTTTCAAGGCAATGAAAATAACCTTTATCAGAGTTGTTAGGCTGAAGAGGAGGGCCCAGCCATGACACTAAATCGTTCCTGAAATATTTATTTGTTTATCTAAAAATTGCTTTTGTCCAAGTCTTGGGTAACATTTTTCTTACTTGATTATAGTTATGGTCTTACGGCCTTCAAATCCAACCATGAAAATTAAAATAGAAAAGCCATACATACAAGACAAAGTATTCTGTGAGTTTATCTTTGACTTGCTGGGTAGGTAATAGGCTACATGGTTGTTTAGGAATGTGTCTTTTGGGTGAAAATTCCCATATGCACTGAGTACTGGGTTAGTCTGACTAAAGAACATTTTTTGTTTTTCTTTCTTTTCTTTTCTTTTTTTTTTTTTTTTTTAACTTAACGGTACCAGGGATCGAACTCAAGACCACCTGCTTGCAAGGCAGGTGCTTATGCTGCTGAGCTAAATCCCCAGCCCCACATTTTTTGTTTTTAAAACCTTAGTCTCTATTAAACATTTCCTTTCTAAGCTACGTCAGGCTTTTTCTGGGGGCAGCATACTATGACAGTGCAGTGAATCTTGTGTTACTGGCCCAGAACCCGCTGACCGAGAGCGACCTGGGGAGCAGAGCATTCCTAGCTGAAGAAGGGTCCTCAGAGCTACCCCGAGTGTAGTGCGTCAAGTGGGGGCGGGCACCGTGGGCAGCGGGGGGGGGGGAGCAGCTCTTGTGTAGCTGGCTGCTGCCTAGAGCACTGCTTATGGTTTCTCACTTAACAGACGAGGAAACCGAGTTCTAGCGAGGAAAAATAATTCCCCCAAAACCATGTGGTCAGTCAGTGACGCCAAGACCAAACCCAGACTGCGACACAGTGCGTCTCCTCGCCAGCTTGTGGTGCTGGTTGTGTTGAACCACTTGGACACTTTCACTGCACAAGTTTTTAGATTTTAGTGACAAACACCATTTCTATTGATGCTAATTGTATAGTCATGTAATGTCGAGGGGCTTTGACCATTTTGTATCAATAGTCCATATTCCTTAATCATTATAATTTCCGCTTACTTTTTACTTTAGACACATTTTTTTTTAAAATCAGAAAATATTCTTATTTTAAACCTTAAGAACCTAGGGAGTGGAACAAAGAACTTTTCTATGGAAAAGTAGCAAAAGCAAGCCATAAAGGTTTGCTTCCAAAATTGTATTTTAGTCTGCTGTACTCTGTTATTGATGAAAGAATAACAAGTCAAACAAGCTTCAAAATTATTAGGTTAGGGCATTAGAGAAACGAGGTTTCTTTCTTGCTCTCTTTTTTTCATAGGCTTCATTTCTTCACAAAACTAATGTAAAAGGTAAAATAGTGTACTTCACTGTATTTTTTAAAATTTCCGGAGCCAGGCATGGTAGGGTCACCTGTCATCCTAGCATTCTGGGAGGTTAAGGTAGGATGATCACAGGTGTGAGCCCAGCTTGGGCACTTTAGCAACACAGCAAGCTTCTACCGCTCAGTGAAAAAGGGCTGATACGTAAACCTGGTGAGGGCCTTGGGTTCAATCTCCCCTTTCAAGTGCTTATAGACCATGCACAGAGATTAATAAAGTCAGCATGCAGTCCCAATCTCTCAGATATTTTTGGAGGCCAAGCAGTGAATTAGACGTAAGAATTCACCTTAGGGGCTGGGGATTTAGCTCAGCGGCATAAGCGCCTGCCTTGCAAGTGTGCGGTTGTGAGTTCGATCCCTGGTACCGATAAAATAACTGAGCCAAAAATCGATAATCTATAAATAAGTTTTCCCGTTCCTGCAAAACAGGCCGCCTCTTGCCCAGGCTCACTTTTAGGGGCCAGCTGGACAGCTTGCTCCTTGGCACTGGACCTCCCAGAGCACCCCAGGGATCGCGAGGAAACCCAGCGCCTGCTTCCTGGGAGCAGACCCGTGACCAACGCCCGCGGTGGTGGCTCCTTAATTGCTTGCCGCCACTGTCACAGACACTGATGATGAGGGGTTTTTTACGCAAAAGGGAACTCTTTGTTTATTTTTTGAACATTGATTTAAATCTGATTTAATTTAAAGTTGAACCTCAATTGATAAATACCAGAAATTAAGCAAAGTAAAATAAATTATTTTAATTCAAATGTAATGCAAATGCTAAGCCCTGCTAGGGATGGTAACCAGAGTTAGGTAACCAGTGGTAGGTTTTTCGTCTCAGGAGAAAGCTCAGGTGGAAGCCCCAGTGGAAGGGTTCCGTGCTGGTGGTCGGATTTCCGCGTGTCGCCCTTCTCAGGGCCGCAGCAGCGGGTGCTGGCTGTGGGGGGCCCTCGGAGGCCTCGCTGAGGGCCTGCGCCCGCCCGCGGAGCCCTGGGCGGCTGCTGTGTCCGGGTGCCGCGCCGAGAGCACAGCATAACCGCGCTTCTTGGAAAGTTTTAAGTGAGAAGCTGCGTTTCGCAGCTGCTAACCTTCCGTCGTGCCGCAGACGTGTCATCTAAAATGGCTTTTCTGTCTCTCCCTTTCCCACTCCTGGCCTCGCTTCTAACGCTGCATCGCCCGACAGTGTCTTTACGTCCAAAATGCAAAGCAGACAAACGGGCGAGCCCGGGAGGAGCGGTGCCAGGAGCTCCAGCGTCAGCGGCGACCTGTGCGCGCTGGACAGGAACGACGGCAGCCAGTCGGACACGGCGGCGGGCGCCCCGGGCGCGGGCGGCAGGAAGCGGCGCTCCAGCCTCGGCGCCAAGGTGGTGGCGATCGTGGGCCTGTCCCGGAGGAGTCGCAGCGCCTCGCAGCTCGGCCGGACGGGTAGGCGTCCTTCCTTCCGTTGCTCTCACCGCGCCGGCCTGCGCGCAGCGCACGCTTTCCTCTCGCGCCTTCTCTTGCAGTGGTGTGGAAGACGCCGCGTTCCGAGGCCACGCGCCCCCCGCGAGCGTAACCTTGAGCTTCTTTCCAGGATCCGGGAGCCTGCTCCGAAGCGGACCTCGTCCCGGCGCCGAAGCGCCGGCCTTGCTGCCCAAGGGTCAGTGCGGTGCGGTGCGGTGCTGTGCGGTGCGCGGCCTCGTCACGCTCTGGGGCACGCTCGCTTTTCTTTAGCTCCCTCGAGTGGAGTCACAGAGCCCGCGAGAAGAGGATCCTCGCGGGTCGGGGCTGGAGGAGCGCCCTGTCCACTGCGGGCAGCCCGCCTCCTCTGCACTCCTTGAGCACCGCCCCGTGCTGTGCCTAGTCAGGTCTCAAACGTCCCAAAAGCCCAGGTGGGGGTGCTCCCTGGGCTGGGCTGGAGGGGCGTTCTGCTGGTGGCAAAGATATTAGAGCTTTGTTGCTTTACAATGCAGCTTCTAAATCACATCTGCAAAACAAATTATACACAACACTCTACTCAAAAAAGCCACTGTTAGCAATTAAGAAAATTTGTGAGTCAAAGCCATGTCTTTTTTTCAAATGGGTGTTGATAATTAAACAGTAAGTCCCTGGTATCACGCAAATAATAACATATCTAATAGTTAACAAACAAAAGCGTGTAATATGGTGTTTTATAGTAAAATAAATTGCAACTGGATTAAATATAATTTGTGTTTGGATACTAGGATTCTTGCACAAACAAGTCAGCATGTAGAGCTAAGCAAACAGCATTTTACAGTTACATTAATTCTTGGACCCGGCTAATCTTGGTTTTTCTACCTGTTAACAGTGATTCTGAAAATTAGGCCTTATATAATAATACATTGAAATAGTTATTTGATGATATGCTTTTTATTCCAGTTATAACTTACTCTATTAGATTTTTGTTATAATTTTCCATTTGATGTTTCAAGATACTATTTATCATTGTAATATAGAAATAGAAATGTAATGAATGGCCAGTGGACATACAGATCATATTTACATGATTTTTAAACTGCTAATATTTATACATAGTTAACCAAGCTGTGCTAATCTGTCAGACATTGACCTTACTCATTTAATGGCTAAACCTTTATTTGCATTTTCTTCTTTAAAATTTAGCAATCTCTGCATAACTAAAGCTGCTCAAAAATCCATGAATTTTTAAAAAATAATAATCTGAAGTGGACATAGTAAGATTACAAGTTAGAGGGGAGGTCAGGGTGGGGAGGGCTGACCAGGGGTGCTGGGAGCAGTGAGAGGGGGCGACCCTTCATGTGGCCTGGCTCAGCCACGCTAACGTGCTGACTGTTGCACACAGCTGTAGGAAAGCCCTGAGGTTTCACCATACAGAAATAATGAGTGTTTGAGGAGGTGGATATGTCTGATCTGACCCAAACATTGCACAGCGTGTACATGTAATGAAACAATACAGAGTTCTCTGGTCAATATTTCTAATTTTTTTGTTTTTATGTGTAAGTTAAAATTATGCTAAATTAGAAAATTCAAAAGACCACAATTTAGGGAATATATTATGTTAAACTGGATAATTAATTCTGTTTATTAAAGTTTTTGATAAATGTTGAAAACTTACCATATACCAGACTCACTGAAAACCAAGAGGCATAAGAAACTGTAGTGTAGTAGGATTCCTTGAGGCAGTACGTACGAGTGGTGACACTAGAATTGCGAGAGTCGAGATGACACTCACACCTGTGTATGCCACTGAAACTGGCCAAGAAGAGCAGTACGGACAGCAGAGCAGGAGACCAAGACAACTCTGCTCGCGCTTGGCGTGTCTAAACCAGGCAGGGGAGAGCGGTCCAGCAAGGACACCGGAAATCTGAAGGAAGACAAATACTGTCCATGAGAGGCTGGTCCCAGAAGAACTCAGAGTTTCTCAGTGTCTGTTTGATGTCTTTACAATTTGGACATAAATATCTGATGTGTCTTTCTTTGACAGTATTTTTATTACAAAACTGACTGTACACTGAAGTTCTGTAATATCACTGATTTGGTGTGGTGTGAGTAGTTACCAGTTTTCATCTTAAAGGCATTGTGATGGCAGATTTAAGAAATAGTCTTATACCTTGTTTGATAGCCTCTTCCTATAAAAATGAGGTGGCTTTTCATTGTTATTCAGTGACACCATGATTAAATTTTAATGTTTTTAAAATTCGCGTTCATTGCTACCTTCTCCCTTAGTAGCTTTGACAAATTGAAACAGAATTGAGATTATGTCGTATCAGCTCTTTGATCGTAGAATAGCCAATGAAGACTTTCTGTAATTGCTGACTGCAATCTTTCAGGGAATTTCTAAATGCTGTGTTGATGTGTATGTGTACGCAAGTTTCACCTGAGGCTTTTATGTTTTGTTTGCTTATAAAATTGTAATCACAAGCACCAAGAACATTTAAAACTGAAACCTTAAAATATAAAGTATTTGATAATCTGGTTAAAGAGTTTAGATATTAAATGATCTAAGGTAATGAACTAGTTTTATGATGTTGGTTCCTCTATGTAGACATCAATTTTAAGATATACTGAGTAACTTACCTAGAACTAAGAATACCATGTATGTTTTCAGCTAGTATGTTTGCATTTTCAAAAATTCATTTAGTAGTCCTTGTTTTTTTTTTTTTTTTTTTTTGGCTTCTTTACGGTGATCTGCATATTAAGTTAAGTAAATGGTAATTAATTACCATTGGTGAATATAATATTTGTAACTTTAAAAGGATGGTTAGCATTACTATGGATTTCAAGGTCACAGAAATCTACTTATCTGCCTTGTGAAGAATAAGAAGCTCATGGGATGGGCTCTTACTGAGGAGCAGCAGAGAGGGAGAGCGAGAGCAGAGTCTCACGTAAGGGTAACCATGTGTACTGAGGCTTGCACATCACACTCACGCTACTCAGCATTGTAGTCTCAAGATACATCCACGTACCTGTAATGCCCCAAGTTTATCTTTTCTTACAGCACAGTAGTACTTGGCTATGTGTAAGTACTGTATTTCTTTATCTGTTCAGCTCTTGATGTAGGTGGTTCTAAGACTTAGCTGTGCTGAGCTGTGCTGCTGTAAGCATGGGTGCACTGAGTCACTGGAATATGGTAACTGTAATTCTTCAGGGATGGTATTCAGGAGGGAGTTGCTGCATCAGCACGATACACTGTGTCGAGGGCTGCTGGCAGGTCAAGGAGGGGGAAACTGTAAGTCTACCAGGAGGCATGGCTTGATGCAGGATTTGGTTATCCCTGACTGCCCTGCAATGGTGGGCAATGCTTAGTGGGAGCAGATTAAAGAAATTGGAGCCCTTAGATAGAGTCAGTGTGAACAAAGTTAGCCCCATGTGAGCACGAGAGCCTGGGGCTGTTGTGGGATCTGTTCACATGTTGAGAAGTCTGTCCAGTGATTGATCTGCCAGCCCCCAGATGCCAGGAAGCAGGAGTCAGTTCTCATGAGCCTCTTTTCCAGATGAGGAAAGCCAAGCAGGAAGAAGGGAAGAACGTCTCAGGGTCATCCAGTGGTGTCATGGGTGTACCCTAGGGTTAGGGTTCGAACCCTGCAGCCCTGACTTCCCTCAGCTTCCATGGGAGCACTGCCCACTGCATGCACCACGGCCTTCTGCAGCTGCTCTGTCCGTGGGAACATGGCGCCAGCAGCCACAGGACACTCGAAACATAGCCAGTGCAACCAAGGACCTGGACTTTAATGATTTTATGTTTTTATTAAACTCATTCAAATTTAAATAGGTGCAAGGGACTAGTGACTATTGAAAGTATAGGTAAAGATAAATTTGACATCTAAAAAAAAATTAAAAATAGAACTGCGACCTCCGGTAGATGGAGTAGAAGAGGAGTTTTATTTGCTGGAAGTCAGGGTTCTTGGGGATGGTTTCGCTGATGGAGAGCTTTGTGTACAGGGCTGAAGTGGAGATCATTCCAGGTGTGCAGTTTTCATCCTGTAATCACTTACCTGCTAGCTCGCTGTCAGGCAATTCTGTTTCAAGAACGGTAATGAAATACGCATGCATATCTGCTGTTATTAACAGTGATCTTACCCTGAGCTTATGCTTTATGAGCCCATGTTGTGTCTTTGATGCTTCCAAATAAGGATGAGAAAATTGATATGGAAGTGAACTTTCAAATTTATTTAGTGCCTATCTTAATACCATCTACAGTGACATATACAAAACTTGAAAACTTATACTTAAGAAGTTTATTTTTTGATCAAATACCAATCCAGTGCAGACAGTGCCAGCGGGAAGGGGATTTCCTGTGGTCATCAGGGTTCAAGGCTCTTTTGACCTGCTTTTGTGTGTGTGTGTGTGTGTGTGTGTGTGTGTGTGTGTGTGTGTGTGCTGGAAGTCAAACTCAGCGATGTTACACTTGCCGAGCAGGCACTTCCGTAGCTCTCCTCTTGTCTGGAGCCTGCAAGTCCTGTTCAGCCTACACATGAGAGCTTGGTATAAACACAACCAGCAGTGGTTAAAGTCACTTGCACCTGTAACCCCTTCGTTACAGCTCAGTTACAGGCTGATGCAAGGAGTATGGTTGGGGAACGGGAGGCTGAGGGAAAAGAATAAGCAGCGGGGAAGGTCATCATGGCCCGAGCTGGGCACCCTCAAACCAGCGCACAGAAGGCAGAAAGCACTTTACTTCAAGTATACTTTTATGAGAGCTTAAGTTTTATTTTACCATTAAAGTAATTATTTGCACATAGTTACTCAATTTTAAATCTTTTAAAATATTTCTATTTTATATATTATAAAAGTACAGTAAAATAAGAATGCTATTTAGAACTTTTACTGAAATGAAATGGAGGCAAAACTTAAAGGCTTAAAGTGCTTGATTTAGTGTATAATAGTCCTGAGTGAGTGCTGAATTCAGTGGTCAGTTGACAGAGAAGCCCATTAGTTGCTGGCCA